AGCTTGGCCTGGGTCCTCTGTCATCTCCCCCAAAGGGTGCACCCCCCCGAGGAATCAGCACAGGACCCCTTCCTGCCAGCGGGACATGGATGTCCCACCCCCGCCAGCACTGCCCAGGCGGGGAGAAGCGCCTGTTTCTGTGAGCCCTTCCCTCGCTGGGCGGCACGGTGCGTCCCGGGTGCCTGACTGTCGGGTGCCCCTTGGGCGCTTGGTGAATACAGGTCGGGGGCTGAACGAACGTGCGTCTGTTACGGGCCCTCAGCGACCGTCCCAGCGACTCTGCTCACACCCTGTGTCTTCCCTTAGGTGCCCCCACGCCCCAGGCCACCCCACAATCCAGAGCCAGGCGCACAACCCTTGCTCAGCCCTGGTCCCCTGTCTCTCCTCTGTCCTTAGCTCACGTTGGGGATCTTTTTAGAAAAATGTTGATCTTGTTGGCGTCCGTGACCGGTGAATTCACACAATGCACTATGCTGTGCACATTTTTAAAACTCCCTTTGAGAACTCTCAGATCGTCCATCATGGGTACCAAATAAATAAGTGTTAGCATTTCATAAAGACTGTCACAGAAGCCAGACCGCGTGCTTCCAGCATAGTGCGCTCTTTTCACTCCGCACGCTCTTTACGCTCTGCTGGTTTGCACGTCTCCCCTGCTATTCGCTTATTTGATTTCCTCTAAGTAAAATACATTTTTTCCAGCAAGTACTGCTGTTTCTATAAAATAATAGGTTTTCTGTAATGGTAAACGCCTCATCACTAAATACAGAAATACTTGCGGGCTTGTGATTCAAACCAGTTTAGGCACAACTGGTTGCAGGACTGATCTGGGAGGCAGAGCCATGTGAACTGCCGGTGTAGCAAGCGTCCATTCTTCCAAATCTGCACGAACGGGGAAGGCTGTAGGTCAGAGCGTCGTGTGTCTGCAGAACCAGCACGGCCCTAACTCTGCGGCCTCGGTAATGACAACAGTAGTAATAGTCACCACTCGAACGTTTGCAGGGCAGTTTGTGCTTCTCAGAGAATTTTCAAATCAAGCTTGATCGCATTTCCCTGATTTACTCAGATGATGGGGAAAAAAATCTCATATCGCAGAAGTGACTGGAGGTACTTACAGCAAAATAGTGGCCTTCAAAGGAGCCCGGAAGCCTGCTTCCTC